ATCCGATGCTTTTGGGGCCCCCAGAGCCAGATCAGACTGACCTCGGGGACCCCCATCGAGTGGGCTTCCGACACCATCCACCTCAGTGGACGCCCACGCCCCACTGTTTTTCTTCTCCCCCCTTGCCTTCGTTGCCGTATCCGTTTGCTTCCCTTTTTGGGGTTGATTTGGTTTTCCCGATGTTTGTCTATATTTTAAAATGTTCCATAAAAATCCCACGAGGGGGGGGAGAATAAAGGGTCCCCCCCGGCAGAGATCCCCCATTCCCCGGGTAAAGCGTAATTTTTTTTAACCAACCGAGGGGCCCGCGGTACCTCGGTTTGGGAGTGCCCCCTCCGACTGAATTTCCCCATCAGCCATGCCCCCCTGGCCAGCCCCCAAAACCGGGATTCGGGGAATTTTTTAAGAGGTTATTTCCTCGGGGTCCGGGCGGTTAAGCCAAGACCCTCGCCCCCGATCAGAGCCGCGAGACTTAACCACACGCTCTTCTCGGGATGGGATATGCCGAGGTTGACAGGGAGACTACGTCCCCCTCCCTGCTCGGGGGTATGTGAGTACACCCGGCCCGCTCCTTTCCACCGCTATCAGCGGAAAAACGTGCCCCTACGGGCCCCCCCCATGGGTTTTTTTACCGGGGTTTTTTCCTCCTCAGCCCCAAGAGCGAAGACCCAGAGGAAACCCCGGCAGACACGCCCACCCGGCGGGGGACCGGCCTTGCCCGAGAGCCGATAACGGCCCCTCTTCTGAAAAATTTTGGCCGCTGGCGATAATCCTCTCCTCCAAGAGGAAAAGGGGGAAACAGTACCATCGCCACGTTTTCCGGGTGCCCAGGGATTTTTTCTAGCCCAGCCCCCCAAAAAACCCTATACCAACCCGTCTGGCCCGTGATATAGTAGGCCGAAACCCCCTTTTTTAGGAGGGGTTTAGCCACATGGACTTAAAAGCTTTTGATGATAACCGCCAGGTGGTTTGGTATAGGCCTTTGGTGTTGTATTGTTGGTTTTCGTTATTTTAAAGTTTAATTCTTCAGATATAACTAATGCTTTCAATCACAATTGTGTATGTCTTCTTGAGTGCCGTCAATAAAAATTGAGTGAATTTTCATTAAATAAAAACTAAACGAAAAAGGGTTTTGCTTATCTGGCTTGGGCATTTTTTGGACGGTTGTGGGCCCTTCCCAGGAATTGGTCAACTTTGCTCAAAATTTTGTCCTTTTTTTTTTGTTTTTTCTTGTCCCCTGTTTTTTTGATTTGCTATACTTAGGATCTCAATATCTTTTTTAACAAAACAGCCAGTGATTTTTTTTATATCACTAGTAAATTAAACCCCTGGCTTTTTTGTTTAGTTTGATTAGTTTGAGATATTCTTTGCTTTTGATTTAGTGGAAAGATTTTCTAAGCGTTTTATGTTATCTGAAATACTTTCGCCTATTTTTTTTACTGTGAAAGGGGGTTTGTGTTCGTTGCAAGGGTTGGGTTTTGTTTTTTATTGTAGCAATACCCGTACTTTTCTTTGAGCGATTTAATACAAATATAAAAGGGTTTCTTCTTTGGTCCGAAATTTTTTGTGCAGTGACATTAATCTTGGTATCAGTGACTAAATCTAAAAATTATTAAAAACCCCCAAATGCGTGGAAATCCCCAAAGTTTTTGTTTAGATAGTCTTATAAGTTTCTAAAGAAATGTGAAGTGCTCCGCACGATAAATTGTTACGTCATGATCCATTTCATGTGAACTCTAGTTTTTCCAGCCGGTGGCGCGGTAAAAAGGTATTCACCTCCCCGAAACATTAAAAGGTCAGATTAGGTGGAACCGTTTTTTAAATGTGCTGGGATGACGATGGTGTGATGATAATCAGATGGTATTTTAATATTGTGTTTGGGAATAAGGGTTCTATCATCTTAGGCATTTGTCCTATTTTTTTGTCTATACTATCGTAGATTTTCGGCTGTGTTTTTTTGGGGGTAAAAAGCCCGCCTTTAAACCCACACAACCCCGCGACTTTCGCTGCTGAGACTCCACGTCAACCCAAATATACTTTTTTTTTTGACGGCTTCATTTTAAAGGTTTTTTCCCGAGCCAAGTTTCCACGACAGAATTTCTACCCCTTAGAGATATTCCAAATTTACACCAAAACTTCTTCGGTTAAAGCTTCGTGAATTAAAAAAGATCTGAGGAGAAGGAGTATGGCCCAAGGGAAACCCTCTAAAAATCCTATAATTTTATTTAGGGTATCCTAGGAGAGCTCCCGGTAAAATTTGGGAACAACTGCCGCTCTCTTTGCGATGGGTCCATTTTTCCATAAGCGCAAATCTTAACTTGGGGGCTATACGGGCAAGTTCTTGCCCCGGACCCCCAGATTTGGGAGATCGTCGTAAATTATTTGCTTCAGCGGGGTCTCTGCAAAGACTTATAACTTTCTTTCCCCGATACAAAAAAAGCCTTCGCACAATCTCTTCTTTTTCCCCTCCCGGCTATGGGGAAAATAGCTATCTTTATCTGTCCAAAAAACCAATTAAACAAAATTAAGTGTCTCCTAATGTCGCATCGATTTTATTTGGCTTACGTAAATATGATCATATCTCGAGTATCGATTAAGCCAATGGTTTCCTATACCCTTCGCCGGAAGTTCATATTCCTTTTTTACAGTAGTCTGGTCTTACCACACCCCTCTTTCTCAAAGAAAGTTTGAATTTTACACAATTTTACATTAAAGTCATTGTAATTGTGACAATAAGAGAAAAAATTTAAAAAAAAAAGCTAATGTTTTATGAGGCTGGATCAGGTCAAACAACAGGTGAGCACATGAAGAAAGAGTTATAAAATTTTATTTGCGTTTTATACTTAATTGACGTAAATACAACGTTATCTTTTTAATGGACCTTGAACGGGTTAAAATTTAAAAACGATTTTTTATTGTTCACCCAATTATAAAATATGGGAATTTTCAAAGCCATCTAATTTGTTTGAAAAAAAACACATTACCAAAAATTTATTCGTCTTGACCGCTTTTAAGAAAAAATTGGGGCTCATTTGATGTGGACACTTTCGTTATTAAGTGTATTGACGAATTTGTTTAAATTGGTTCAGGGACAATAAGATCATAGTAAGTGGCATTTAAAATTTTAAAATTACGTTAATATGTGTATTATTTTTTTTACAATCCACTCTTAGGTTTTTTTTAGCTAAATTTTATTAAATTCTAAAAATAAAATGCTTGTATAACTGTTTTTTTTCCTAAATAAAAAAAAACAAAAAAAATGATAACGATGAGGCTTCGGTAAGAAACTCCCGCGTCGACTTTACTAAAAAGTTCTACACCCCTCAAAGCCCAAAAGCTTTCTATTTGCCCCCTTAAAAATTAATTTTTGTTACAAAAAATAGGGGGTTTTTTTTCTAAATTTTTTTATTTTTTACTAAAACTCGCAATAATTTTTTACGGTTTTAGTACATAATTATGCGGTTAGCGGTTTCAGGTGAAAGTATGGGGGGACGGTACAGACAGACATAATTACTTACTTCATACTATTAGGGAAAAATTTTTCCTTAAAACTTTTAATAAAATATTTATATATTAGGTAAAACATAAGGTTTTTGTTTAGTTTCCCCACAAAATCAAAGTATGTAGCTTTTAAGGCCTTCAATAAAATTTTAAACAAACAAGAAAAAATTCAAAAGCCTTAATATGCAAAAATTTTAAATTCCTTTATAAGCCCAAGTAAAAAAAACATAAAAAAACCTATCCTTTTTTAAAACGGTTTAAAAAACCCAAAAATAAAAAAATAGAAAAAAAAACATGATAATATTTAAAAGCCATTTTAATTTTACAATTTAATAACTGTTTGTATTTAAAATATTTAAAAATAATTTAAATTTCATACATATATATAATAAAAATAATGAAGTTGTGAATTTACTATAAAAAAAGATACCATATTACCATAACAAAGCATAGCACTGAAACCTTTTAGATATTATAAGGATAGTTTTTTTTTTAAATATAAATTTTTTAAATTCGTAAAATGCAACTCTTTTTGTAGGGTCACCCGCCTTTAAAAATTTTAGTTTGCTTCTCGATTTTTAAATTTTTTTTCATCCTTGTAATTCAAATTAAAATTAGTAAAAACTATCATCAATTTTTTTTAGTTAATATATATATATACACCCCCAAAATCGATCATATTAGCTTCCCTTTTCACATGACGTAAAATTCTTGGTTAAAGTTTGTCCACCTAGTGATTGGTCTTAACAGCTTGCATCCTCTTTCACCACCATTTTTGCAAACGTTTTTAGTTTGTGTTTTATTTTAAAAAAATTCTCCTTGTCTATATATCTTTTCTAAGATTGATTGTTAAAAAAATATCTTAGTTTTTTAAAATAGGGTTTCTTAATTAAACAAAGGCACATTTTTTTTTAATAAACTAGTGCGACAAAAGTTTTTCCCCCCAAATTTTTTCATATTGAATGTTTCAACAAGTCAATTAAAATTTTTCATTTAAATTTGAAAACACCGACTAGGTGACCAGCGCGACCCGGCCACGTGATAAAAATAATAAAGCCTGCGCCAGCTGATGGCAGTAAAAAGGTAGAGTCGGCGACAAAAGCCGTCGACAGTTTCCGTCGCGTTTTGCATTTTCAATAGTCGTACGCGCATCATACCAGTAACTTAACGCGCTTACGGGATAAAATAAAAAAAAAAAAAAAATTAAAATAATTTTAATATAAAAAATAAAATTTAATTTTAAATAAATTCGAAAATGCTTTAAAAACCCAAAGAACATTAAAATGAAATTTTTGGTGTCAAAATGACGTTTTCGGTCGAAGTACCCGGAGCAAAATTTTGGGGTTGGAACAATGCAAATTCAACCAGCAACCGGCACCCAGATCAAAAAACGGAAAAGCATTTAAGCAAAAGACGAAAAAAATTTATTAAAGACTCTTGGGGGATAGGTCCAAAAATTTCGTGGGAACCTTGTTATTTGTTTTTGTGTTGCCGAGTGTATGCGGTTTAGCAGTTCAGAATTTTTCTTAAAAAAGCTGCCTCGTAAAATTTCATTAACACGTACATGTCGACACATAAAGCAGGGTCGACTGCCAATTAAAGGACAAGAAAAAAATGACGACCACGTGCACGGCAGCCTGGAGTACCCTCTAAAAATGCTTTACCCGGAATTAGCCTTTTGCCGCGCTGGAGCGATCGACTGGCAACCGGGAAAACGTTTAGGTGCTACAAATTGGAAAAAATGCTGTCAGCAAACGGTATTATCTTTCTACGGTGTTTTTCTTCAAATTGGTGTTAAGAGACCGCGCTTTTCGAAAGGTCTCCCCCCAGCTCTTGCAGGCGTGCGTCGCTATGACTATGGGCCCCTATCAGTTTAAACACTGAATCACCCGCGATTCTGAAAAAGGGCTTTTTGGAGAATTATAATCAATTTTGACACTAGCAACCTATAGGGCCCTTTCTCTCATTGGTATTAGACGAGGCGGGTTTTGGGTTTTACGTGATTTATGGGAGCGTGTGTTTCTATATGTTTGGATTTTTTATATTTTCTTAGATTAAAAAGAAGACTAAAAGAAAGTAAGGGCAGAAGACCCCATATTTTGTATTAATCCCCGTGACTGACTTATGGCGACTGTGAATGTCGTTCAAAAAACCGCCAAGGATCGAATCGACTTCAATAATACTTTTCATGTTTGATACAGCTCACGTTGGGGCCGGACTTTGGTAAATATTTTTATTTTCATCAAAATTTATTATTAGATAGTTATGACTAATATACTTAAGATCTTTTAAATTAAGCCCAGAATAATCATGACAGAAAAAAAAGATAAATATTATATTCGTAATATTTTAATATTTTCGCGATATAAAAAGAAATTACCATATGTGCTCGCACGTTTTTATTTTATTGGTTTTTTTTGCCGAAGTATTTTTTTCGTTTTAGGGCCCTTTCACACAGGGGAACTGTATCGTACATACATACTTATAGTTTGCGTTTAAAAAAGACTAATTCTTGTCTCCAAATTTTCATGGTTTGAATGAATGAAATAATTTTTTCTACAGCCGAACCATGATTTTTTCCAAAATTAATAATTTGTATATCTTTACCTGCTCTGCTAAAATAAAAAAATTAAAAAAAAATTTTTATACCCACAAAAGGGTTTTAAAATGAGGGGTTTTTGTTCTAGTGTAGTGGTTTGACTCACAGCTAAGCTTGGCTTTTTGGCGTGGGTTGATTTTGGGTTTTAGCTAAGATAAAAAAATTGTGTGGAGCCGATAATTGTTTCTGCTGTATTAAATTTTGAAATTTAATAATATCTTTTAGAAACATATAATTTTTCATAGTAACCCTCATCAAGTTTGGGGGGGGGGTTTTGGGGTGTGGTGAGATAAAAAATTTTTCAAAAATTAAAAATGGAATTGTACCAATTTTGACTATACCACACAAAAAAGAATGAACGAATAAAAGGCGTTGAAAAAAAAGTAGTGAATTTACAAAGTATTTACTCCCATATTAATCTTAATTTTATACATAAATATATTGGTTTAAATTTAAAATTTTACTTTTTTTTGAGTTTTTTTGCGTCTTATTCCCTTAATTCTGATATTACTATTTATTTTTTGAAACACAAAAAAATGAAAAAAGAAAGGAATTTTACGGGGCCCTAACCTTTTTGATTTTACGAATAAATCAAGTATGCGTGGGGTTTTTTTCGTTTGTCAAATTTTTTCTAAATTTACAGATTTTTCACGTGTCTTTTTCTTTCCAAATACTGGTTTTTAATGCTTTCAAGACATTATTCATAATAAATATTCTATTTGATTTTTGAAATTTAAAAAGAGGAATAAAACTTTTGGTATGGTATGGTAACCGTTTTAAAAGTATCGACCCCTTGAGAAAAAATTTTAAAGGGATCGAAAAATCGCACAACAAAAAATTTTTTAGTCTTAGTACTAAAATGCGATTAAGACAAAAAGATCATAAGAACTAAAAAAAATTTAAAATAAAATAAAGAGAACAGATATTTAAAGGGTGTTGCAGAAATGCCATCCTTATATCAGTTTTTTTTAATGATTTCAAAAAGCAGCATGTTTTTAATCAGTTTGAACCTGAAAAAAAATTTTTTTTACTCTCCCTTTTTTTCCCATTAAAATTTAAACATTTTGAAAAAGAATCGATTTTTTACAAAATTTATCATGATGTAAAATGTGTATTGGATGGTTAAAAATAACAGGGCACCACCCCTATTATCCCGTGGGCGTCGTAGGGGCCATAAGCAGCTAAATCTGAAAGGGCAACCGCAAAGAGAACGAAAACTTGCACAAAATCCATACCCCCCCCTATCTGGGCCCTATTTCTATATACCCCCAGTAAATAACATCCTTTCTAAGGGGGCCTATAACCGCAAGGACATTAAAGGCTGTGTGGCGATGTAGAAACATTAAATTGTTTTCAAGTTAATTTTTATTGAATAGATTATGGTCAAACTTGGTTTCATTTAAAATTTTTACACAATTGGAATAAAAAGAACCCAATACAAATTTTTTTTAATTTAGGGGCATTTGGGGCGATGATACGTTTTAAAATAAATTAATTTGAGTTCTAACACATTGGGTTTAAATTTTAATTTTTTTCCCTTTCCCCCTTTTTCTTTTAAAGTGACAAAACTGACACTCCACTTTTTCCTTTCTCTTAAAAATATAAAAAATACAAAGTAGAAAAATCTAAATACGCATTTTAGACTATGATTTCCTTTAGCTAGAGAAAAATTGCATTTATAAATAATTTCCCTTACTAATCAAGAAACCGCCCAACTTTAAATAATACTGAGGACGCATGGTGGTCGAATTTGATAGTTTAATGTCTCTTTAACTTAGATTTTTCGTATGACTTTTGTATTAAATAGGTCAATATAGAATAATTCGGGGCCCCCATAGCTTTATTAAACTGGTTTAACATAATTTTTTAAATGTAAAAATTATTAACTTTATTTTTTACAAAAGTAGGCCTGATTGTTGGTAAACGACTGTGGCGAGCTCACATGTTCTTTTGGGCCCAATAAGTTCGTGTCTCTATTTCTTACAGTCAACACTCACTAAACATGTTCCAATTTTAGACCATATCTTTTAATCTTCCGATTTTTTCTGTGCCAGCTGGCACCTGCCTTTGGTTTAGGCTCGTAGCTTTTTCGTATTTTCCCACTAAAAATTTTAGTTTTATCTTCATTTTGACCGTTATTTTTAGATGACTCTTCGGATGAGGTCATCCTTTTTGAAAGTTCTCAAAATTTTTTTTGATGTTTATTACAAGTTTTGATTAAAAAAAACAAATACTAAAAATTTTATCTACATATCATAAAAAAAAATTACAAAAAATAAAAACTAGACAGTGTACAGTTGTGTTTTGTGAAAAACCCTGTTGATTTGCTTGTGTGTACCTTATTATTTTTGTAACAGCCAAAAACTTTTTCAATCTTTTTGTTTTTTCTAATTTTTATGTTGTTTGGTTTTGTGAAAATAAAGAGGTAGGTAAAAACGCAAGCTTTCCTATCTTTTATTTGTTATTTTTATAAAAACCTTTAAATGTGTCGATATATTTTATCGATTTTCCCACAATAGTAAAATTTACCCCTTATTTAAAATCGTTACCTATTTTTGAAGTATTTAATTTTATCTTAAAAATAAATACTTAAAAAAATCAAAAAAAAAATTTAGTTTTATAAAAGGCTTTAAAAACCATTTCAATTTTACATTTTAAAAAAATAAAAAACCCAAACTGGCCCTTTTCTCGTAAATTTGCATGGTGTCAAAATTTTCCCAAAACTAAAACATTTTTCCCAAACCATCATTTGTGAGGGAAATAAAACACTACATGATAGATGGTGTTTTCAATTTTGTAAATTTGATAAAGAATAAAATTGAATATAATTAAGCAAAAAACATATTTAAAAAACTTTTTTTGGGTAATTTTTATTTTTCCCCTTTTGGTTTTTTTTCTGTCTAATGCAAACATCATGCCACTGGAAAATTTGTTTTATGGACCAAATGAATTAGGGCCACAGATTGGTATTGGGATTGGTTTGGGTCCGTTGCCGCATTTAGACCCAGAGTGGTCCTTTATGCGCAAAAGAGGTTGACTCGATGAGCCCCAACCCAGCTTTTTTCAGAAGCGCAAAAAACCTCCTGGGACTACCAGGGTTTTAAAGCGATTTTTTTTCCAGGTTGGCACTTGTCCGCTGTGTGGCCACTCCCCCGAATTTCCCGGTTACGTGGGGGCCCGCTGTTTCTTCTGCTTTCAGGGATCCTGCAAGAGGACTGTCCGTCCCCATTAATAATGAATGATTGTTCGTTCAGGGTTTTCGGGGGCCCGTTAGGGCCCCCCGCAACTATTCGGTATCTAGTCTCTAAAACCGTCATCTGAAGTAAGTCGTGGTGAGATTTTATTCAGCAACATTTTGGATTTCTGCAGCCGCCTGATTTTTTCATTTCGTTGCACGCTTCACGAGTAGCTGTCAACCCGGGATCGAAGGGGGTTAAAAGTCATGGTGGGAGGTTTTTGGGGCCGGGGCCGGATTCCCGAGCCCCCCCTTCCCAACTCATCTACAGCTCTTTCCCCGTGTAAATTACTTTTACTGCCCTTTAACCCTTGAGGAGCACCCCATTTGTTGTGGCAAGCTGCCCCAATGCTGAAATTCGACTATCCCAGGGGTCTTTGTGACCCCTCTAGTCCCTTTTAGGGGCCCCATACTGTCAACGTAAGGATGTTATAGCCTTTAAACCCTTTGAAATGGCCGTTGTGGCGACGTAAGTTTTGCCCCACATTCGCTTGGAATATGGAAATTGTTGGCCCACCGCTAGGATATGTTCATGTTGGGTTTTGAAAAAATCGGCTTTAAAATTTCCCGACCCCGTCTTTGGGAACCCTCCCTTTAAAATTTCGGGCTTCGTTTTTTGCCAAATTTGTCGGCATTTTTTGAGTCAGAAAGTGATACTTTGTGAAAATTTTAGAAGGTGGAAAATGTTTGGGATCCTGTTTGCTGGGGCCTAATACTGTAGGGCTCATACGGTATTTCACTAATTGATCCCCCAAATTTTGAGTGTACCACAGATCAGGGTCTGAGTTAAGATCGCCAGGCTGCCTTTACTGTATGAAAAAGTCCAGGGGGGCATTTGGGGTTGTGCGCATACAGCCCGTGACCGCGAACATAGGGGCCGCGGAAATTTCTGAATTTATTGATGACAGTGATAAATTGTTTTATGCCCCCAGCAAGGCACCGTACTGAATTATTTTATATGACGTTTGGTAGAGCCATAGTGTAATCTTTTGGGGATAGCCCCAGCTTTTGCCGATAAACCCTTTTGCATGGCAGAAAACAAT